ACCTGCCGTCGACCGCATCGTTTCTCATGCCCTGTCCTGGGCCCGTCGCTCCTATGGGAAACGTCTCACTCAAGCTGTAATCACCAAGTTCTACCAAACAATCAACGAAACAAAAACCAGAGTAACCATATCTATACCAACTGAAATGGATACTACACCTGCACCATCTAAAGCCACGGCGCTGCCGAACCTAGTCCAGCAGACATAGGTAAACGCTCTCGTAGAGAGGGCACTCCCCTTATCTTTTCACTTTCAGACTCGTCTTCCCCTTCCACACCACCTGAATCTTCACCACGTGATCCAGGATCCGCCAACCTTTCTTCCTTCTGTGCGTTTTTGGACCAGCAAACCACCCCTCAATCTCCATCCAAGTCGAGATGTATTTCCAGACCTCCCCCTCGAACGAGATCCCAGTCCGTTCCCAATGCTACAATTCTAACAACTACCAAACCAGTACCAATCACACCGTCGATGACCATTATATCCGCTACCAAACCGTATTATCACCAAACCAAGGACAAATCATTATGGAAGCTACCCGCTCTAAAGAAATCTACCTTAATTATTGGATCATCTAACCTGAATCGAATTACCAAAACCAGTTCAGACACTGAAATACATTCTTACCCCGGTGCCCAAATCCATCACATACAGTCAATCCTGGAATCATACGACCATGATCCCAAACCTACTACCATTATTCTTCATGTAGGCCTCAACAACCGTGATCAGCTACCAAAGACCTCCTTTAACCAAGCCCAGAAATTAATCGCCACAGCCAACAAAACCTTCCCAAACTCCAAGATCCTCTTCACATGTATACCCATTTCAAATAAAATCTCGAAGAAAGCACAACAGAACCTCAGCACTCTCAACAACATGATGATGGAGTCCAGTATCAACAGCGCAACAATCTTACCACCCTACGAAGAAGAATTCGAACCAGTTGATAATCTTCATTGGTCTCCAGAAACAGCAAACAGCATTTATTTGTTTTGGATAAACCAGCTTCAAGCATCGAGTAAGTCTTTAAACTAATTACTGGGGATAAAAATACTGAGAGGCCACCGCTAGGCCAAACTGTAGTTAACTTGAGCCGCAAAATTCTCACATCCCTTCAGCATTCAATCTTAGACCGTGGACTTAAATTTATTCCCACACCAAAGATAGCTGACTTGAATTATCTCCGACCATCCATTGAACGATTTCAACGAAATCTTAGCTGTACATATTTTTTTCGAAACCACCCCCCACGTGGTGCTAGAACAATGTTTATTCCTACATCCACGTGGACACCCCCTCAGGCCGCCATCCATCCTGAAATATTGAAAGCATTTGCGAGTATGAATAGCCAAATAGTGAACCTTTCCATAACACACGAAAAAGCCTAATCTCACACGAGTGGAACGTGAAGGGTTAAACTTACTT